TCTAAGTCAACCACAAGTCGTTTCGGTACACACTGATGTATAAATAACACAGCGAAGTTTTATGTGCAACTCAGGGTGTGGCGTTTATGTATGATTCAGAAAGAATAATATGAGTTTGTATAGATGGAAATGGGCATTTGGGTGGGGATTAAGCAAGGGCAAAATTATAATGCGTGCTGGGTGGATGGCAACACCTCCTTTTGCCTATATCAAGGCTGTTCAGAGAAAACTCTGTGATTACTGAGTATGGTGAATCCTTAATCTGGTTTAAGAAAAAGTTATGGAAGTAAAAGTTGTTGACAGACTGACACTCCAGGTTTTAGAGGAGAATATTTTAAATGAACATTTCAGCTCAGCAAAGGAATTTCCTTATGACATCCTAGTCCCTGACCCGATGCCAAGTGGCCACGTATTTTCTATGGTTAAGGTTTATGAATTCTGGCAAAAAGAACAATTGAATCGATTCAGTGTCCACTCAGCTTGGATGGAAAAAAAAAAGCTGCAAAAACAAAAACAAAAACAGATTTCTGGCCGCTGTCCTCAAAATCCTCCTACACAGCTGATTACCGACAGGATCAGCCACTGGGAGCCACATTCCCCCGCACAGCAGCTCTCACTGCGCCACCGCGGGTGGGTGTCCAGGACCCAAGGGCGCGCAGCTGTGCGCGGGGTTCAGGGAGCCCAGCGAGCGCCTGGCAAATGGCAATGTCTGATAACTGGGGACTGCCCGTGGCTTCTGCAGGCAGGGCCAGTGCGCTCGAGCTCATCAGCCAGGCGTGTGGCAGGCCAGCGCGGCCTCCCAGGGAGAGCACAGCAGGCGCCTCCTCGGGTGTTTATTTTGCACCCCAGCTGCCCGAGCCGCGTCCTGGGGCGCCGAGGTAGAGGGGCAGGTGAGAGCTGATGTCAAAGCCAAAAGGTAGGGCTTGGAACGTTGATGGGAAGATAAATTGTGGCAGAGCTTTGCGAAGAAGACCCGCCTGGCTCCCGGACTCGTGTTGTCTTTGGAGCGCGGCTGCTACAATCTGCAGGGACGTGACGCGCCGGCCTCCTGCCGCCTCCCCACCCGGCGCAGGAGAACCGGGCCGGCCCGCGGGTCACGTGAGCGGGGCCACCTGGGCGCCTGCAGCCCCAGACGTGTAATTAGAGGCTCCCGGCCGGCGATGCGCGGGCGGGCAGGTCCCGGCACGCGTCGGGGCCGTGGGCGCGCGCTCGGCCTCCCCGGCTGGTGAGCCCCGGGTCCCCGCCGCCCGGAGCCGCCACCCGTGACCACAGCGGCCTGTGTCCGGGGACGGGGCTCAGGCCGGGGCTCCCGGCCTGCGGGACCCGCACCGCCGGGGCAGCTTCCCTCCCGCGGGCTGCGCCCGGCCCGGCGGGAGACTCGCGGGTTTCCACGGAGGGTGCGTGGCGGGAGGCGCGGCCCGGCCCTCGTGCTGTGAGCGCAGACGCCGGCGGGAGGCGTGCGGTGAAGATGCGACTTTGAGGGGCATCGAGAGACGTTTATTGTCCAGGAGCCCCCCTTCTGCATCGGGGTGCAGTCAGGTTGGCCGAGACGGTCCACTTCCCAGGCCTGCTTCGGCCACACCCCGTTTGCTCCTCTCCTCCGCCTTTTCAGTAGTGGGAGACTCAGGGGCAGGTGTATGTGGGGTCACCCATGCTGCTTTGGTGGGTGGCTCCCGGCTTGGGTGTCCAGGCGTTTCTGGAACCCCAGGGTGAGGGCAGGGGAGAGGCGCCAAGCCTAGGCCTGAGAGCAGTTCCAGCCCCACAGATGAAAACCAGCCCCCCCTCCCCACCAAGCCGCTCCCTCCTCAAACCCCTGACTGCCCAGGGGTGGGGGACTCTGAGGGACGAATGGCCGCCGGACCTGCCGGGAGGAGGAGGTTCCAGGTGCAGAGACAGCAGCGCCCAGTGTGTCTGCCGCCCTGAATTCTGGGCAGAGAACATGAAAGCGGGGAGAGCTTGTTTAAACACGCTCTGGAAACAGCCTCAGCGGCTTAGGCAGAAGGATCTGGAAGTTCAATACATTCAAGTGAAAAGAAAGCATGAAAATTCACACCCACACACCATCAAGTAGCATTAGATCTGCCCGAATCACATTATTTCCCCTAGTTGCAGGGACTCAAGACGAGGCAAGCCAAGTCCAGACACACTCGAATTTTCCTCCCTATTCTGTCCTTTCCACTTTCCCCAAATAAAGCCCCAAAGCTTCACTTAAAATCTGTGTGCTTTGCACGCGGGCAGAAGGCCCGGGCGTGTGCTGGAAGGTCTGAGACGGAAACACACCTCCCAGTGCATTTTCCTCTGAACCAAACTGACTCTCTTAAGGGCTATTCAAGAGGTCCTGGCTGAGCGTCAGCCTCTCTGGTTAGTTGCACGTCTCAGATGGGAGCTGAGGACCCCCCAGGGCGTGTCCGTCTGGAGCAGCCGGGGAGCCCCTGGCCGCCACCCGGCGCAGGGTTTGCGGTCCCCTCTGCTGCAGCCGGTGCAGCTTCACCTTGCAGGACGCCTCGGCAGAGCCAAGTGCACAGGCGTCTGTTTCATCTCCGACTGCCCTTTCCAGAATGTCTCCACGTTTACATGGCAACAGATTTTAAAAACTTGACTAGCTTTCCACAAGACGCTTAGCAGAAAGGTGACGTGAATTTCGAAAGGAAGTTTTAAGAGGACCTGCCTGGGTCCACTTTGATAGAAACTATTTCTAAAAGACTCTCTGAGGGCTGTGATGTCAATTTCCTGGTCTTGATAATAGACTGTAATTACCTAAGATGTTATCATGGGTGGAATCTGGGTAATGGATGCAGGAACTGCTCTGTACTATTTCTGAAACTTCTTGGGAGTCTATAATTATTTCAAATTTATAAAAAGTGGGAAAAAAAAATGACGTATGAAATAATGCAGGGAGCTCAAGGAAAAAGCTCCCTGAAACTATAGGTGCCGAGACGGGGAACAAAAATAGACCGTCGCTTACTATGTGCCGATACCCTCCATCTTTGAAAGTTCATTTTTCACCACTTTGCTTTTAGGAAAGGCCGACATGCGTACCTGTTTCTGCTAAAAGAAATCCAGAGAGGATTTTCGCTTTTACAAGAGGTGAAACACGGGAATGATATTCAAACCTTGTTTTGCAGTGGGCCTCACAGAGGCAGGGGCCACCCCGAGCAGCAAGCCCGGCCCCACAGCCGCCTGCCCAGGCAAGCACCTGCTGAGGCTGTGTAGTTATCACGTGCTTCTTGCGGTGACCGCGCGTGTTATTTTAGGTGATGGGCTATTTTATGCGGCGTAATAGGTTGGTTCTCGGGTCTGGCAATGCTTAAAACAGCTCAGTATAAATGAATGGTAATTGTTTCCTCACTGTCCACAGTGTCCACAGAAAGGTGTTAAAGAAACGGTCCTTTCGGACAGCAGGGGAAACCTGTAACTTGGTTTTTGACCTACTGATGGGGTTCCCTCGTCTTCAGTCGGCTGTGATTGCTTAGAAGCGTCTGCCAGCCTCTTTTTTAAGGAACGGGGCCTTTGGCAGTGAAGAGACGTCTCTTGCAGGTGGTGAAGGCAGCCTTGAGCCCTAGAGACAAGTAGCAACCTATGGACAAGGTTAAATTTTCCGTAGTGTGTGGAGTTTACCAAAGACACGCAAGATGTGCTTCTAGGGAGACTTAATATTTAACATGATCCACATTTTGAGTTGAGTTACCCACGAGCCCTTTGACCTTGGCTTCTGCTTTCTCCCTGAAGTGGTCCCTCGGAAACTCTTCAGCGGGAGCTGGTCTCTGTGGGCGGGAACGCCAGGGAAGCTCAGGGGCTTCTCACGTAGCACATGGGAGGTGAGGCTGGGCCGCTGTGGCCGGACGGCTGGCCCCTCTTTACGAGAACTTGACAAGGCCCGAAGAGGCTGCTGATTCCCCACCCGCACTGGTCTCGGCAGCAGCCAGAGGCCTGGGCCTGGGCCTGACCCGGCCACGGGCACGCTGGGCTTCACTTTGCTTCATGTGTGAGCCATGAGCTGGCAGCGGCGCTCGAGGCCGGAGTTCTCGCTGGTGGCGTTCGCACAGCAGCAGGGCACATTGGCTTGGCTGGGGGGAAAAATACCATTCTGGAAATGTCAGGGAGAAACAGGAGGGTTGGAAGGAAGCGAATAGGGAACTAGTGAAGAACGGGCTTGACCACAACACAAAGACAAGGCAGTGGAGGCAAAGGCAACAACTGAGGTGCAGAGAGCGAGCCCCCCCGGCCCCCGGGCTCTCCAGCCTGCTCTTGCTACCTCCTCGGCGCCTTTCACAGCTGTTCTCTCTCCAGGGCCTGACGTGTGCGTCCGTCCGTCCTCAGCGCCTCCTCTGGCTTCTCGTCGACCTGTCCTCCCGCTCGGCGCTGACGGCCTTTCCAACGGCCCTTGCTCACACCTCAGGGGCACCCCCCCCATCTGTCACCCCTTCTGCCCTAGTAACTGTGGGCTTCTGTGCAGCGCCCCGTTTTTCCTTCCCTGCCTTGGGGTCACACCTGATTCACCCCAACTCTTGCGGAATGGCCTGTCCTTCTGTCACCCACCGCTCATCACCTCCCAGCGCTTATCAGCTATAGCCGAGCCCGCGGTCGCCCTTCAGGGCCGGGTGGGTCTGTGTTCCCGGTAAAAAGCCGGCCTTTTACCACACGGTTGGGCCGCAACTGGCGTCGGGAACAGGCTCTTTGTTGTAGCATGCCCGAAGTGACACCCAACTTTCGGATGACTGGGGTAACAGATCAGACACCCACGTACCCTGTGGTAAGCTCCCCCAGACCCCCCATCTTACAGTGAGAAAACTGAAGGACCAATTCTCCAGACCGCCCAGCACGCAACGGGGCAGGGTGGAGCTGGACTTCGGGCTGGTTGCTGATACCGAAGGTCTGGGAGGTCCTGCCCTGGGGAACCTGGGGGGTGCCAAGAGTGCAGTGACTTTCGCTGGGCGGGGGGGGTGGGGGGGAACGGGGGAGTGGAGGACACCCTGTCCTGATGATCACCCCCACACGGCACTCCTGCACCCACCCCGGGCCTGTCCCAGAGCCTGGAGGAGCCACCCCTGCACCCAGAGCTGGCTTCCTGGGGGGGTGGGGAAGGGCAGAGACGCGTTTCCATGGTAACACACATTCACGCTCACTTTCCTAATTGCTCAAGGTGGAGGCTCACGGCATTTGTCGCCCGAGGGAACCACCCGGATGTCAGGCACAGCTTGACTGTGAGGAAGTCTCCCCTTCACCTTAGAGTGGTGGCGCTGGCCGCGACGCGAGACGGGCCCTTTCAGAAGAGTCGAGGCAAGACACGATGTTAACGGTGTCATAAATAAGTACTGTAACTTTATTAAAATGAAAAGACAATATTCAAAATAATGCGACAAAAATGAACAAAACCCTTTGTCCGACGACGTACACACGACGCAGAATCAGTGCATGGTTCTAAAGCGTGTTTTAACCTTCATTTAGTTCAGACTAAAATACAAGCTTTAAATAGCTCGAACAAGATCATTCAGCAGTTGAAACTGTAAACGGCGCGTCCCACCGCGGAGGGCGAGGCGCGAGGCACCCCCTGCCCCCCGAGGACGGGCGCCTGGGCCTCGCTGCGCCCGACCCGCGGCCGGCTGAGAGCTTCACAGGCGAAAGGCGCCGCCGTGACCTCTGGCATTAAGACATACTGCGCTCTTGGTCAGAAGTGTTTTACTGGAAAAGCAAACAATCCCAGGAAATACTGAACAGGAACCAGCAACACAAGGCCGGCTTGTGTCGTACCTGCTTATCAACGGTCCAAGAAACACACACACACAACGTAACACGCGCCCCCCGCGGCCACGCGCCATCGCGGGCTGCTCCCGGCGGGGCTGGCGGCGACGGCCCCTCGCAGGGGGCCGGAGCCGGGGTTGCAAGGCCAAGTTCTTCACTGATTCTATCTTTGCAGCTCTGCGGAGGGACGTCCAGGCGGAACTCTGGATGCCACATCGACGGCGCCCCCCTCCACGCCACAGACGCCTGAGCCGGGGCGCCGTCCCTGGGCAGGTCTGGGTCTTGCGGGGGGCACCCCCGCCCTTGGAGGGAGACGGCTGCACTAACGCGAGGAACGGGACGGGCCTCGGAGCCAGACATCTCCCAACTCGCTAAGCACAAATAATTTCTTTTGGGGATTCGGATCTCAACGCTACTTTTCGCTTCCACTTGCTCCATGTCCAGTCTCTCGGGAGTCATCTCCAGCTGGAGTTTCTAGAACCCGGAGCAGATGTTCTCTGAGAGCGGCTGCGGGCTGACCTGCAGCTCTGTCTGCGTGAGCCACCTGCACACCCGGGCCCCCACGCCCGCTGAGGAGCCCCGTCCTCGCGCCAGCACAGCCCCCGCCAGCGCCGCCAGCCTCGGGACCCCGCGCCCACCCCTCTCTCTACACAGAGTTCGGCTTCCTGCTCCTGCCACCCCACACGCTCTGCGAGCCTCGCCAGGCTGGGACGCTGCCCGAGAACCGCCCGTGCCCCCGTGCCCGCGGCCGACCCGACCTGGGTCTACGGTGAGACCACATAGGACAGGTGCTTGCGCTTGGCGTGGCCGCCGGGGTCCGCCCGCGGCTTCAAGTCCAGCTTCTCGGTGGCCGAGAGGACGCCGCAGACAGCGGGTAACGGCGGGACCGGGGCGCTGGCGTGGGCTGCTTCTACCTTCTGGAAAAACTGCTCGAATTTGTCCAGGTAGGCCGGCCGCTCGGGCAGCAGGTAGTAGTGCGTGGAGCTGGCCTTCCTCCCGTCCTCGATGATGGGCAGGATGCAGGGGGCCCTGCCGGCCGCGCCCTCGCTGTTCTGTCTCTGCAGGGCTTTGCTGCTCACGTACTTGGGGTCCGGCGCGAAGCTCTGCGTCGGGGGCATGACCCCGTTGAGGTAAGACGGAAGGCTTTTGGGACTCGGGGTGCGGGAGCTGCCCCGAGACAGGGGTTCTCTCGGGGGCACCTTGGGGGGCCGGTCCTCGTCGCTGTAGGTGCTGGAGGCGACTTCTGCCGACCACCTGCGGTAGTCGGGCTTCACCGGCCGCGGGGGGATGGGGACCCGGGGGGGCACCTCCGGCTTGTCCTCGTCCGAGTGGGGGGAGGCGCGCGGCGCGCCGCTGGCCCGCGGGCGGCCGGCTTGCTGAAGGAGCCGGCGGGCCCCGAGTGCGAGCGCCGCAGCCGGCGATGGCCTGCGCGGCGGGGCCGGGGCCGGGGCCGGGGCCGGGGCGGGCTCGCGGCTGAGGTCGGCCTCGGAGGCCGCGGGCGTGTCGAAGTAGGCGTAGTTGACCTGGCCGCAGCCGCGGAAGCTGCGCCGGCCCGGGCCGTCCGCCCTGAGCCCGCGGCCGCGAGCAGCAGCGCCGTGTCCGCGCCGGTGAGGAACTCGACCTCGCTGTCCGCCTCGCTGTCCGCCGCGCCGTCCGCCGCGTCCAGGCCCGCGGCCTCGGCGCCGGGCAGGGGCGGCAGCGGCCGCGCGCGCCGCTCGCTCGCGGGCGCGCCCAGGCCGGGCCCCGGGCCCAGCGGGCTCTTGCCGGGCGCGGGCGGGGGCGAGGGCGCGCGGGCCGCGGCCACCGCGAGCCGCCGGAAGCCGCCGGCCAGCGGGTCCTCGTCGCGCTGGCCCGGTCTTCGCCCGGGCGAGGGTCAGGGCGGGCGAGCTGGGCTGCTGCGGGGCGCCGCTTTCGGCCAAGCGGCGGCCACTCGTCCGCGCGGGCCTGGGGGCGTCCCCTGCAGGGAGAGAGAGGTCAGCCGGCCCCCCGAGAGCAGCCGGCCCCCGCCCCGCGGGAGGCGGACCCCACCACGGCCGGCAGTTCACGGGGACACCCCGGCTCCAGCCTCGGCGAGCGGCGGCCCCACCAGGTCGGGCCCGGGGAGGCGGGACCCTGCGGGCTGGAGATTCCTGCCGGGGGGGGGGGAGGGCTCGGCCCCCCAGGACTCGAGCCCCGGCCCGGCGGGGAACGGGTCGTCGGCCGCCACCAGGGGTCAGGCTGCGGCCGGCAACGGCTCCCGCCCGGGGCCAGAGACCGGCGAACCCGACCAGACCCTCCCGCCCGGGGCAGCCCCTCCGCCACCCGCAGGACACGCACCGAGAGCTGCCAGGCGCTCCTGCGCCGCGGGGTTCAGACTGTAGGCCATGGCGATGGGGTCCATGTTCAGAAAGTGTCTGCGAGGAGGGAAGGGCACAGTGGTCACGCCAGGCCAGCAGGCCCCTCCCGCCGCGCTGCGACAGCCCGAGCCGGCAGCCCCCCGGCCCCCCGCCCGTCCTTACTTTTCAAACCCACTGCGCCCGCCCCAGCAGGCCTTCATGCCCCCCAGGGCCTGGCTGTCGGGGAGAAACCCCGTCTTCAGCGGGGTGCGCAGCTCCTGAGCGGCCACGCCTGCCGTTGACATCGTGCTCCTGAGCAGCCACGCCTGGCGTCTCCAAGCCGGGGAACAGGCGCTCAACCTGTGGCTTTCATGCCCTGGAGGGGAAGCGGGAGAAAAGGAAGGGTGAGCGGGACCCTTGGGACAAGCAGGTGACCCCGGCAGCTGGTGGCAGAGGATGTGGCAGGATGCGGAAGAGCAGATGGCGTCACATGTTCCTGCTCCTCCTGAAGGTTGTCACGGGCAGGCGCCACACACGCCGCCTTGGTAAGTACAAATCCCAAGAGCTGAGATGCTTCAGCAACATGAGGATTAGCCCATGTCCAGCGGGAGGCCTCCTGCCTGCACAGCCTGACTGCGCAACAAATCACTCACTCGCCAAGACACACCGACATGTCCCTCACCGTCTACAGAACTGGCCCTCACGTGAGGTTGCACAGGCCTCCCATTGAGGTTGCGCTAGGCATGAAGCTAACTTTCCCCAAGCTCAAAGCTTTTGTTAGACGTGACGTTCCAGAGCCGCTCAGCCCACAGCCAGGCATGCGCCTGGCCCCTCTCTGGCCCGGCCACAGGAAGACACAGCTGCAGTTATTACTTGATCAAGAATAAAGAAATATTTACATATGAAGATACTAATTGCATTACCCTGTAAAAATCAAGTTCTGCAAGATCGCCGGCTTCAGCCTAAGACCGAGGCCAGCTTCCCCTCCCTTTAAAGACAAACTCAAAGGTACATTCTTCACATTCTCCTCTCCAAGCGTCTGGTAATTCAGGCCTTGCCTAGCTGCGAGGCACAGGTTACAAAGGCCGAGGGAGTCCATTTTTTCCACCAGTTGTTCTTCAACTTTTGGAGCCCCTCTCCCCGGTCAGATGTCAGTCTGTAGCCCCCGAACCCCCCAGCCTCTTTTAAATTGTCCTTTTCCTATACGTCACAGCACGGACCCAAGGTCAGCGTGTTGGTCAGCTCGCGCCCCCTCCACTCTCTCCTCCGCATACATTCAGGTTTGCTTAGAGCAAGTCCAGGACTTTCTTCCTTTCAGCCACCAGGTCACACCTGCCAGCGAGCGCTGTGTGACACTGGCCCCTCCGGGGTGTCGCCCACCCCGGAGGTGCTCTTGGCCTCTTACTAAGCATCTGCACATCTGCCCAGAGCTAGGGACTGAGGACGACACCGAGATGAGGAAGCTGGGTGCTGGGGGGCACCCGTGTTCTCCTTGTTGGAGGTACGAACCTGCTACCCCCATCACACCGTGAGCCCAGGAGAGCGGCTCTGCCCCAACCAGCGACCCCCGGCAGTGGGTACTCCGCACGAGGATCCAACGGCTGCCCAGAGCGTCTGGTCCTCATCAGCAGCAATACCCACTGATGGCTGCTATATGCGGGCGGTGTCTTCAAAGAGCTGAAAAAACACTCCGCAAGGAGTATTTTTTTTTTCCCCCACATCAAAGGAACACAGAGCTGGTGGCCTCTTCGGTCTCAGCGACAGCAGGAAGACAGTGCCGAAGGCTGGTTCTCGGCCTTTTAGCTTCCTAAAGGCATTTGTCTTAACCTAGTCAGAGACTTAAATGGGCTTCAAATAGGACCCCAAATAGTCGAGCGTCATTTACTTTTCCTCATCCGGTCTCAGAGATGTGACGAAGAGAAAAAACCGCCATTTAGGACTTGAGGTCCCTGGGAGGTCTTTATTTTGGAGGGTTGCTCTTGAGATTATTGAAAGGAAGCAAATGTGTCTTGACTTTACCCAAATCAAGTAAGACTATTCCAGAACTGCAAAACCCTGACTTTTAAAGAAGCTGCTAGGCCCTCCCCAGGACCCGAGCGGGGTCTGGTGCTGTCTGCAGGCAGCGGCAAGACGGGGTTGTCTGTGGGGCCAGAGAGGACGAGGCGCGCGGTGTCGGCAGCCTGAGCACACGCCTGCAGACGCTGTCCAGGTCACGGCCGCGCTGCGGGCCTCGGCCCAGCCCCCGCCTGCCTCCCGTGTGTCGGCCTCCTCGGCCTCCTCTGCCGGCTGCATCTGCGCTTTCAGCAGAGGGATTGTGTGGCCAGCCCGACGCTGCCTCTGAACGTTTCAATGGTCCCTTAAAATTATTTACATGTTCTAGAAAAAGTTATTTTTTTATGCATTGTTTCCATCACCTACTTGTTAGCTTTCTTAAGAAAAAAATTTTTTTAGCATAGAAAGAATGGTGCCGGGGAGCGGGCGGCCGCGGCCACAATGAGGCCTTTGTGTGCCCACGGGAGGTGACCGGCCTCGGTTCCAGCGCGGCGCTGTGAGTGGCCGGTTATGAAACCTCGGGACCCGCGGCCGGGAGGGAGACGGGCATCGCCCGCGCTCCCCGTGCAAAGGAACTTCAAACCAGGGTCCCGGCAGGCCAGGAAGGCAGCGTCCCCAGGGCAGCACCCAGCCTTCGTGCTCGGCTGCCCAGAAAGCCCCATGTGCTGCTGCTCACACCCCGACCCGGCCTCGCGCCTGGAGGAAGTGCTGCCCTGTGGGGGCCCTCCGATGCCAGCCAGCTCCCCACGCACTGTGGACAGCGAGGGGCACGGGCGTGCGCACGCGAGGGGTCCTGTCAGGCGCACAGTGGTGGAGGGGAGGCCCGTCGGGGATCGCCAGGCCTCGGGCACGCAGCTCTTAGCCTAGAAGTCCCACCTCGTCGCGAGCCCTCCGGTGTGTCCAGCACGCAGCTGGTGCCCACCCCAGGCGCAGCCACATTCTCCTGCTGACATGACTTGTTTTTTTTTAACCCAGGAACAATAAAGCCATTCTGAAGAGCTGTGTCTCTTGAGGTGCTCCTTTTATGTCCACCCCAGAGTCCTGATCCTGCCCCCGGCCCCGCAGACGGCCCTGGTGCAGACGCCAGGCGGGCTTCCGCTCTGGCCCCTGTTGTCTGGCGATTATCTTTCCACCTGGACGGTCCCCTGGCATGTGGACTTTACAAACCGACCCCTCCCCCTCGCTCACCCAGCCCCCCTCCCAAGCCCGTTCCGGCTGTGAGCGCATCCTGTCTCCCAGGGGGCCGGGTCTGTCCCGGCCGCCTCCCTCCACACACAATGGCCAGGCCCCACAGCCACTGCCCACACACCGGCCCCGAGATTCCCGCCTTCCTTCTGAGGGGAACAGGTCACTCTTCTGACGGAAGCGCCTCAGGCCTGCCCCGAAAGGCCCTCCTCAGCCTCCTTCAGGCTCTAGCTTCTTCTTCTTCCTCTCTCCCCAGTCCCAGCCAGGACCCACCTGGCCCGCAGGCCGCCTCCCACTCTCCTCTCCCAGGAGCCGGTGCAGCCCCTGGGGTCCGGGGTTGTTCTTACAGATCCCCTACCCCAGACTTCTAGGCCAGGGCTCCATTTTGCCCTGCAGATCCTGGGGTCACTCATGGCTCCTCGGTGCTGGTTAAATGCATACTGAGAAGACACCCAGCTCGTTACAGAAAGCCACAGAGAGGCTCGTGGGGAAGCGGGGGACCTACTGTGCTCGGACCGCCCCTGTCCTGAGCCCGCGCGGGGCAGGTCAGGGAGCTCACTAAGTTCATTTCCAAAATCTGAAAGGAACAGTCAGGCTGGGCTGAAAATGATGAACTTCAGTGGTTAACAAAGTAACTTTCTAGGTGGGTTTGTTACTGTTACTCCAAGCAAGTAAGGGGGCTGCTTTCTGCCAACAACCAACTTCACACTATTCCTTCTGGATTCCAGCGCCTCGGGGGTTTCTGCTGCTACCTTCAAGATCACTCTCCTTGGAAAGAAAGAGAGGGCCGCGCCACAGCACATGGCGCTCTCCTGCTCCAGGTGGAGCTGCTGCAGGCTTTCAGCTTGAGGCCGGCTTCTCCCACCCTGTTCTCCATGTGTGTGTGCGTGTGTGTGCGCGCGTGTGCACGCACGTTTAATCCAAAGCCAGGCTACCTTCAGACAGTAACCCAGATAGGCTCACCTTGCCACCAGATCTCATTAATGAAGCCCAGACCAGCCCCAGCAGGAGGGGCACATTTTTGTCACACAGCTCACGCGGTCCTGCCCAGCGCTTCCTGATTTAAAAGTGTGATGTAATTTCCTCCTTTCAATCTGGTTTTTAGAACCTGATTTCTGTTTATTCAGAGTGATAAATGGTCTTTTCAGCTGCATTTAACAATTACCTACAGAACCACTTCCAGGCTGAGACACAGCAGGTAACCGGATCTGTGGGTCAGAATGTGTGGAGAGTGGCTGGTCTGGGGCCACGACCAGCCCCGTGACATTAGATCCGCCCCCAAATGCAACTGCATGTGTAACTTCACTTTGAAAATGTCTAAAATAATCACCTTTGGGGACATGAAAACACAGTAACGCCCCCCGCGACTCGCGTGCGAGCCCAGGGGCCAGCTCCTGGCCACACGGGACGGCGCGTCAGCCGTGTCACCGTCTTCGCTGTTTTCACTGGGAGGAAACTTACTGGTTTGCTACTCATCACACACCCTCAGTGTCTACGGCACAGTGTTGCGGGACCCGAGTCTATCTAATGAAAGCAGAAGATTCTACAAAATCAAAGCCCCTAAAATTCAGGGTTTTCCTGACATTTCCCTTCAGTCTCCAGGCCGGGGGAGAGGAAGGCAGGAGGAACAAGTGAGCAAAGTCCCCGCAGCGCGCCCCGCCACGGAGGCGGGCGAGGGCCTTCGGAAAAGATGACTGACGTTCTTTCAACCCCGAGTTTGAAAATGTAATTAAAATACTCCTACGTGGACTCAGAGCACGCCGGGCGGCTTCAATAAAGATGAAAACGCAGCTCAGCGTGGTGGAGACGGCCCCTCTGTCTCCCGCCGCTCGCTCCTCGCGACAGGGAGTGTCAAAACCCAAGTCACGAGACGTCATCGGCCGCCCTGGGAATGCCGTCCGGCTGAATGTTTTAAGAATGGCCGGTCTGTCAAGAAACCCCATTCCACCGACCACCATAATCGTCGCCGAAGGCCTCTGGCCCACTCAGTTTCCTACCCAGCTGTGGGGCAAGGGCAGGAACGAGCCTTCTGTCCTGCTGTCCCTCCGCGGGCACTCTCCGCACCGCAGGACAGGCCGTGAGGACGGGCCCGCCCTCTCGCTTCAGACAGGCGCGCCGGATGCCGCCGCGCGCAGGGCCTGTGAAGGCGAGGGGTCTTTAAAGCTGCACATTCACCGGACTGTTGGGGCAGCCGGCGGGGTGGGTACAATAACATAAACACCCCCAAGGAGGGCCGGGAGCCTGAGGGTCAGTAACTCGGTTGTGAGGGGTGGGGAGGGGCCCAGAGTCCAACCAGGGCGCCCAGGATGAAGCCCAGGCTCTCTCACCCCTCACACTGCCCTCTGCACCCCTCAGGCTCTGCCCGAGGCCCAGCAGATGCTCCACTCTTAAGGGTGGCTCAGACAGACTTTTCTGGAGACTGACTGCTTGCTTAATAGCTTTTCTTGGAAAACCTTAACACCCCTGAGAGTGCCTGTCCACTTCAACTCCCTCAATTCTCTAAGTTATTAGATGCAAATTCGGCCCGCGGGTCCCTAAGAGCAGGCTAGGGCATCAATTTTACATTCTACGGGCCTCCCTCGGAGGGCGTCGCTCCTGAATGATCCGCCACCACGTCGACCCATTTCAACATGGCCCTTGGTCACAGCAGGTCTCCCATCAAAAGTGTCGCTACATACACCCACCTGACGGCCCCCTGTGAATACAACAGCACCCAGCTCTTGGCCCCGGTGCCCGCGAGGGCTTCCTAACTGGAATTCAGATGGAATTTCAGCTTCCATCCGTAAAGTGCTCAACAAACCACAAAGCACCTCCTAACGCGCCATCTCACTCGATCCCCACGCCACCCCTGTAAGGACAGGCAGGACTGTGACCCCCATTTTGCAGGTGAGGAAATGAAGAGAGGCCGGACAGCCCCCAGGGTAGGACACTCCAGTGCTTCCCCTCCGAACCCAGCACCTCCCCAGGACACATCGCCCCCCGCCTCTCGGTCTGGTGCTTCTTCATTGCAGGCATTCTCCCTGGCTTTCTCATGGACAACGGGGAGACAGGGCCAGGGAGGGACGCGTGGGGTGCTCAGTTGACCTAGTCAACTGCAGAGAGAACAAACAGGCACTCAACTCCTGTTCAGCTTCGAGACCAGGGCTCGTTAGTTCCAGAAATGGTGACCACACGCTTATTTGCCGGGGACTGGACCCCACGCCAGAGGAAAAGAGCCATGGCAGCCGCCGCCGAGCCTCAGTCTGTGGAGGGAGCCTCACCAGCAAGGCCGACTGTGGTGACTTCCAAGGAAACGAGCCGGGTTGGGGAACAGGATGAGGAGGCAGGAGGACATGCATACACAGGTGGGCAGGGAAGGCCTCTGGCAGGTGACTTTCTACAATGGAGTCTAAGGGATGAGGAGGTGGGAGCCAGGAGTATGGAGAGCAGCAATTCAAGCACAGGGAATGGCATGTTCTTAAAACCGCCTGTCACTAGGTGAGTTTCACACACGGGTCTTGACAGAGAGCTTCTGAACAATGTATTTTAACCCTTCCCTTCCCACTTCTTCCTTGGTGAACCTGCAGCATCTTGCTGAATCATGGCGCTCTGCAACGGAAAGACACAGAGCCAGCCAGAGCCTGCGCCTGAAGGATAAACTCACCAAGATCCACAGACTGGTCTTTCAGTGATACTGACCAAGTTCATGGTAAAAGGAGTTGGACTGACGTAGCAAGAATGACTCCCAATGGAAGAATCATTTTCCCCTTCTGAATCTGAATCCCAGGCCCCTTTCCAACCTTAAAAGTAATCTATCTACTGGGCCAGCGACTTACTGCAACTCCCCTGTCTTAGCTGCCTTTACAAAGCAGGTGTTTCTTGTGAACAATGCCAGAATGCCACAGCTGGATTTGGTTCATCTAGTGAGTTACCCATTAGCTTTCACAAAGCAAGGCCCGAGGATGCTAGGGGAATCCTGCCCAAGAGGTACCACTGAAACATATTTAGATTAAGAGCAGAGTTGTTTCTCTGGTTGAGGGAGCCTCTGACATTCAAATTCCTGGAATTACCCTTGGCACCACCTTCTCCTCTGCTCACCTTTCTAAGGCAACCTGATGGTATGTAGACTTTCAGGTCAGTTTCAAGCATGTCAGAGTGTACCTGTAATTTCGGCAATTTGCTTTGCAAAGCTACCATTAGTATTAGCAGAAAGGGAGTATTATCTGGTTCAACTTCTGAGAAGCTACAGCTGAGAGTTATTTTCACACAAAAATGCAAATCTACAGTGTAATTATACTGTGCAGAAAGAGTGACCAGTGTCTGCCCTGAACTGAAGGTTGGCAAAACAATTCAGACCGAAAAGCCATTTTTTCAATCTGATCTGTCAAAAAAATATGAAATCCAGACATTTCATAACAGCCATCTAAAGCCAGATTTGCTTTCTGACCCTTATCAGTGACTGGTCTGAGTCTGCTGAGCTTTAAATGCAAAATATGCTTTCTTGCAATTATTTATCAACCATCAACAATGTGCTGGGCTGCTGAAGACAGAAGCTGCAGGAGGCAGAGTTCCTGCCCTTAAGGAGTTGACAATCTAACATCCCTGTCCGGTCCTAAGCTGTTCAGCCAAGATCTCCACCGTCCATCAGCCCAGTCAGTCCACCGGCACCTACAACTGACAAACGGTCTGAGGAGGGGGCCGGGGCCACAAATTGGGTCTGAAGTCCTTGCTAAAACCCACAGGTATTTCTCTTCAAAGTTGCTAACATCTGTCAGCGAGCCAGGGTGATTAACATACTGCTCACCAGTCACGGTCTGGCAGCATGTTAACCAGAAACCAACCTCTTTTATTTTGGTCTTAGCAAAATTTGGTCATTTCCTGAAATGGGGACCTCATCTCTCTGGTTTGCTGAAGCAAAACTTCACTTTAAAACTGTAATCCCAGAAACGTAAAGAAACAAGCAAAAAACAAATACAGTTCAAAACACCGAGACTGGGCCTGGCGAACCCGAATGTCTCAGCCTTTTCCAGACAGACAGACAGACAGACAGCCGCGGCACGCACCGACTTACAGAAGCCCGAGACCGCAGGACACTTGCTCTCCAGGAGGGAGAGAGAAAAAGCATTTCCACCTCACCTTTCTTCACCCCTGACAGTTGCCTGGAAACCAGTCCTGCCCTACCTGTGTTGCAGGTGCACCTGAAGTCACCGACACATCTCTTTTAAAGCCACAGTCTCTCTTCTGGCCGCACTTAGATTCATGACTAACGAGCGATTCATATATTTTATCGGGCAGGAGGCCGGTTTCCTCGCGGTGACGAAATCCTCGCAAAGACTCGGCGGCCCCGAAGCAGCCGGCCGGCCGCGGGAGCATCGGCTCTGCCCGGACTGGAGGCCGCGGGGGACGGGCCGGGAGCGTGCAGGGCCGGCCCGGCGGGCAGGGCGCGCGGGGGCCCGGGGCCCGGGGAAGGGGGGCCCGCGAGGAGGGGCGCCCTCGGGTGCGCTCAGCACGGCCGAGCAGGTCGCGCCGTCAGGACCGGCCCCGACGCGGCCGGCGCCTCCCCCGCGGCTTTCGGGGCGCATCTGGGGGCGCCGGGGCGGCACCCCGCGACGCAGCCCCGCCGCCCGGAGGGGCCCAGGGCGGAGGCGCGCCCGGCCGCCCCCGCCGCGAGCGCGGGACCCCGGCCCCGGCCGCCCCGTCCGCGCGCAGCCGCCGGGGGTGGAGCCGCGTCCGGCGCGGGTCCCGCCCGCCCCCCGCGCGCCCGCCCCGCGCGCCCCCCGCGCCCCCCGCGCGCCCGGCCCCGCGCCCCCGAGCCCCCGGCCGCCCGCGCCCCGCGCCCCGCGCCCTTACCCCGCCGGGCCGCGGCCGTGCCCCGCCGCCCTCCCGCGCATGCCCGTCCCGGCTGGCTCCGCGCCGCGGGCTCAGGGCCCCGGCGTCGCGCAGGCGCCTCGCCGCTGCCGCCGCCGCCGCCCGCCGCTCCCGCTCGCCTCGGCCGCCGTCGTCGCGGCCGCCGGCGCCCGGCTTTATAGCGCGGGGGGCGGGGCCGCGCGTCACGGCCCCGCCCCCCGCCGCGCGGCCAATCCGCGCCGGGGGCGCTTAAAGGGGCGATGCGCGGCGGGGGCGGCGCGTGGGGCCGGCGCGGCGTCGCGGGCCGCGGGCCGGGCCTCCGGGGCTCCCGCCTCCGCGGCGGCCGGGCCTCCCGCCGGGCAGGTCGCGCGGCGGCCGCGGAGCCCCGGGACCCCCAAGCCCCGCGCCACGCGGAGCGCCCCTTTGTTCCCACCCTTGGGGGTGGGGGCCGCGGCCCGGCCGGGCGGCGGCCGTGGGCGCGGGGACCCCGCGAGGGCGACCCTCTGCGCCGGAGCCCCGGGCCCGCGGGGCCCCGCACCCGCGCTCACGAGGGCCACGGGCTGTGGTGGGGGGCGCAGGGGTCAGCGAGCGGCCAGGGCGAGGGGCGGTCGGGGAGATGGGGGGCAGTGAAGGGTCGTGGGGGCGGTGGGGGACAGTGGGGGGCAGTGACGGGCAGTGTGGCCGTGGGGGGCAGCGTGGGAAGGGGGGGCCAGCGCGAGGCCGGGAGGGACAGCGGGGTCAGTTCCTCAGGGTGAGGCTCGCGTGGGCTCTCAAGGGGCAGGTAGGACAGCGGGCGAAGTGGGGCGGTGAGCAGTGGGGGACAGTCCGGGCGTGGGGACACCTGTGTGCGGGTGAGACCCCACTGGGGAGGGCCTTTCCCCGGGGAGCTGAGCGCCGCGGCCTGGCCACCTCCACTCTGACAGCTTGTTAGGAAATCAAGGCCAGGCCCTGGTGGCAGCTGACCCGAAGGGCTGCCGCCCCCACGCGGGCCCCCCCTTGAGCTCACAGTCTCGTGTTTACTCTTCAGTCCATGCCCACCTCTGCGCCTCTGGGCCTCGGGGCAGCGCTGATGCCCAGAACACCAGCCAGCCTGCAGGAGGAGGTTCTCGGGCCACTGGGTGATGCAACTTAGGCTTATAGTTTAACCGTAAAATAAATAATACAAATGATAACAAACCAAGAGTAACTAAAGTAAGAAAAAAAGCAAACAGGCAGAAACCCTCCAGCCTTAACTAGAACAAATCTCCCAAACGGTGCCCTGAATTGAGGTGAGGCCAGAGCCCTCCTGCTGACCTCCTGGGGCTCCCAGAGCCCCTTCTTGCTTCTCAGCAATAATGCCTGGTAGTTGGACATTTAGCACCACCTAATTGGGGTAGTTTAACATATGGAATGAGATTCTGACCTCATTATCAGGTTAACTATTAACTCTGCTCTCCATGAAATGATTTACTTTTTCTTCCCTATTATTTGCTTACATTCTTTTACATTTAATTCAAAGGCCTAATTTTGAATTCATGGCCTCACGTGCAAAAAGGAAAAAAAGAAGAAAGAAACCTGATGTCTCCCTTTGTCCCCTCTCAGAGGCGAGATAAACAAGCGTTTGAGGCGCCTCATCTGCCCTTCGCTGGGCTCCTCCTGCCCCTCAGGGCCCCTGGGGCCATTTCCTACCTGGGCAACTTCACAGCAGTCCAGGTCTTCCACCTTCCTGTTGCCATCGCTGCTTCCTGCCGGTCACTTAGAATTGTTTAAGGGTGATGGAAATTCATCACAACGGAGTACTGGTTTTCTTACCCAAATAGGTTTTGTGGTCACAAAACGGGTATCGAGACGCCCCCCTCGTTTTGGTTTGGTTTGTGTTTTGGGCGTTAAAAAGGATCAGCAGGTGAGCTTGCTGGAGAGCAGCTGGTCAGACTCACTGGGGAGCGGTTGCTGAATGGGGACCTGGACAGCTCAGGTTCCATCCAAAAGGAAGCCTGGTAGCATTCGTTCAAGGCACTACAATGCAGCTGTAATTTGTGCTTTGGCCTGATTGGCATGCTTTTACATTCCCCTATTCATTAAACAGTGATAATCACCAGAGCAACCATCAAACACACCCCTTCTTTAGAGAAAGAAGATCAACAGGATACTCACTATATGGTGGTGAGCTGTTTTGGTAAATTATCAAAAAATCGTAAAATCACATGAGTAATATGTGATTAATTTGATTTTTTTTTCTTCCAGTCTATTTTAAACTTGCAAGATAGACATCTCAATTTATTCTTTTTATTTTTTTTTTTTTGAAATCCCAATTATAACTGGTAGCTTACTGAAATATGCTTCCAGCCATAGACATACACTATGGCATTCTCAGTTGTGGTTGGATTACAGGAGAAGACATACCCACAAATCTTTCAGCTAATGGTTATTAATGGTGCTTTGTAAAGACATTGATATGTCAACAATATTGTAGGGTGTTTGGGAAGAGTATAAAAGAAAAATGCTAAGCAACTTGAAATAATATTAGCATCTTGTGTTTATCAAGGGATCATTCCTTGACTTAACAGATCGGAACATGAGTTTAGTGGCTTAGGGAGAAAATATTCTCTTTAGACTAAACCTAACTTGTTTTCAGTGGACTGCAGTAAAAAAGAAGTTTACAGTCAGACTTTTTAAAAAAAAAAACACCCATCTTTTTATAGTCCATTTAATGTTGAGGTCACTTCCCACAGCTTTTATATTAGCTGATTGTTTTTTAATATTAAAAAACATGGGAAACAGTATACTTCCACCTCATTGACCCAAATAGTGCCTTTACTACGCTTCTTTCAGTGTAGGAAGAAGCTGTCCTTGGAGTGAGAACAGGGGAGATTCTGGCGCTGAACCCTTAGAACCCAGCATTGCTTTCCAAAGGACTTGCTCCCTCCTTCTCCCCCAGTAACCTGACCCCTTAAACCCTTGCTCACTTTAAAGTAGATCTTATTTGAAGCCTGTAGGAGACTAGACCCACTTTTATGTTTATTGCTCGGGCTTATAATTTTTTTTGTATTTCCATTGTGTTATAAAGACATATTTTCAAGGGAGACACTTTCTGTATCCCCCTCAAGCCCCAGAGCCTTTCTTTATGTCTAGCCACGCTGTTAATAACAATGCACCTATTACTATTTTTACTAATGTATATAAGTGTGTGCAATAAAAAATACATGATGGGAAGAACTGCATTTCTTGCAGACCATTGGTTTAGAGTAACACTTTGTGTTTGGAAACATCCGGGCACAGATATATATCTTTATATATCCAATAAACCGTGTGAATTACCCTAAGACACATGGGCTGATAAGAGCAGAGATGTTTCCATGTGGAGTGTCAGGTCACAGCAGAAGTCTGCACTGAGTTTTCAACTTTTCACCTGAAAAGTAGCACAGGGAAAGATGTAGCATCCATCTTTAAGTCGTTGTAGCTTCCATCTATAAACGTACATAAATGCAGCATAAATAAATAAACACTGTATTCCCCGGCTGGTTTCAATGGCTCCTTCTATTGCTCTAAGGGTTTAATGACCTTTGGCTTAATATAAATTTTAGAGAGACTATTGATATAGTTGTTTATTTTTTGTTGAACCACTTTTTGTCTACCTAGTGCTCTCTAAAACACGTGATGCTACCAGTGGCTATTGTTTTTCTAGTTTTATCCCATTTCTAGCATGTATAATCAGTTTAGAGAAATTTTTGTCCTATCAATATATTAATTTGTAGAAGTTTCACAAGACGCCCCACCTCCCCGATTTCTTTTAAATATTAATCCGATTTTATCTTCTGAGTTTTACATTTTCTCCCTAGTAAATACTGTATTTCCAATTGGCTGGCCAGTAGGGTGTGCTGTAATCCCTTCCCAAATAAATAAATTAATTAAAAATATTAATGTAAACTCTTCATTAAGAGATCCCCAAAATGTGGTTCACTCCTTCATTGCCCCCAACATAGATGAGCTGTGTTTCCAAACACAAAAGCAACTAGTTCGCACACGTGTGCACTGAAAGCACAATGGTTCTATGAAAGCACGAAAACTTTGAAGATGATGACTTCTGTGGGTTTAGGGCTAAAATAATTTTGTATTATCTTACCAACTTCATATGTTGGTAATGGATATTCTCTTTTATGCCGAATAATCGAACAAGAAAGGAGGCTTGGAGATGACGAGCTTAGGGCCTGAACTTGGAGTCCAGGTTCTCATCCCAACTCACACTCAGTAGTGTGACTCAAGCAGGTGGCCTAAGCCTCTCTGTGCCTTGTGAGAGGGGGCAGCAGTGGCCCCTGCTCCCTAGGGGTATCGCGCGGATGGATGAGATCATTCTTGTGAAAGTGTCAACACAGCCCGGCCCGGGTCAGGGCTCAGCCAGTCTGCTGGTTTTTCAAATCGTGGTTGTCATTCTCAGTGTTATTGTGATATCTTCTTTGAGAGATTTTTGAACACTTCTCATTGCAAGACCCTACGATTCCCTGTTGTTTATTAGTATATAAAACGTTATTTGTCCAGCAAGCCGTTTCCTTAAATGCCAGGAGCATAAATGATTGACCAAGTGAAAGGTCTTGCTTTTCTTTGCAGTTTTTCCACTTAGCAGGCTCAACAACTTTCAGCCAAAGAGAGGGTTCTGTCCTTCGTAGTGAAATTTCAGGCACCGGTAACATGTGGAGAGATATGCTAGGAACGGGAGAATTTTCTTAGAGATTCTGAAGGGAAGCTAACAGTGGCCATAAGTTGGTGTGCATTTACTTGGCAGGCCCATACTTATAAACGCCCACTGACATGTTTCCTTCTAAAAAATACATTTAGTTTGTACTTTAAAAAATGTCTCCTACAGAACTTTTTAATAGGAACAGCTTTCCCATCTTCTCTAGGACAGCGGAATCTGCCCAGTGTGTAGACAGTAGCGTTGTAAGGACTGAATGAATGACGCCACTTCCTGGGATTTCTGGCTTGTTTATTCATTCATCTATCAATGAATATTTATTGAACGCCTATGTGGCAGTCCATGCTAGGCGC